TGTTTTTAATTTGGCACAAAGCTTCACGAGGGCTATCTGCGCTAGCCGTCCCTAATTTAGCAGTGTAAGACTAGAGGGAAGGCAACTAGTCATCACCATCCACCGCCAACTCTTCTTGGGCTATTCTTTTATCAACGAATAGTGTGGTTGACCGTTAGATTATAACACCCCCACGGTTGATGGGACGGAGATTCGAACCTCCAAACTCGCGGATTGCGAGTCGAGTTCCCTAACCACCTGGATTTACGGATTTATAACGCTAAAATTCGGGATTCGATTCCCAGCAGTGTACAAAGCAGATAGCTTAATATGGCTTTGCTCAAAACAAGACAAACAAACCACAACAGAATGGAACAGAACTATAAATATCAACTTTAAGTGAATATCATAGAAGCATAACACAGATCACCGATGGTCTTATTGTCTTCAAATATTTACATGGTCTACAGTAATTAATTTATGCTGAATCTGAAAGTTATATCCATTTTTCTCCATCGCGTATAGATTTTTTACAAAACGTCAGAACGCAATACATAACAGAAAGACCACAACACATAGTTTTGAGACTAAAAGATGTATATTTCACAAAAAAATCAGGATAAATGACAATGCATATTCGTTTGACATCAATGTTCTTCCATTTTCTCCAGTTTGTTTGTATTTTTGTTAACAAACATAATAATAAAAGTGTTCATTGTGGTAAACGAAATAATAATTTGATGTAAGTAAAAGTTTTTTTTTTCCACTTTTGTAGAAAATCCTTACTTGATAGAAAAAAAATTAATATTATTTTCGAAATCTGAGTAACCGAATTATGGAAAATCCGTTTTTAAAACCAAAACAACTTTTATAGAGTTTAAGTTCTGTGTAATTAATCTTGATTGTCACTATTGATAGTTAGTGCAAAGCTATACAATGAGCAGTCTGTGCTTAGTTCACCGCGGAGAATTTTTAGCGTTTTAAGTCCCTAAACTTACCGTTGATCCACCAGGTGACCAATTACTCTTGTAGGACAAATTAAGATGAAAGTTATATATTCGATAAGCTGTTTCTGTAATATGTATATATATATTACCATATAACACTTTATTGATAACTGGAGGGGGAACACCAGTAAAGATCGATTATAATATTTTTTTCATATCTAAGGGTTGTTCATTTCCATTAAAACAATGTTTATATTTCTTTTACATTTGATATTCAGGCAGTACGCTAGATGTTATGAACTTTAGGGTTATACTAACCACATGTCATCAGATAGATGAATATTATTTTTATTTGTGCAATGAACCAATCATATTCTCGAAAAACATACTTTAAGAACGTTGTTTAAGATTTAGCAACAAATATTCTATTTTTTAATGTGTAGCTCAAATGTTATTATCATTAATTTCTGTGCGTGAGTTTGTTTTAGAGCAAAGCAGCATTGGGCTATCTGCCGTGTCCACCACGGAGAATCGAACTCCGGATTTTAGCGTTGCAAGTCCGTAGACATACTGCTGTCCAACCGGGGGCCCGTAAATTTCTGTTCAAAGTAAAACTACGTATATAAATCATAGCTAAAAATTAATTTAGCTACAGAGAAAACTAAACATACCCTTACCTGATATTACCGGAAAATCAAACTTTAAAATCAGAGTTACCTGAATTTTTTTACTATTGTTTGAAAGATATAAAATCAAATCAATTGCAGTAAGACAATTAAAGATGTTCGATCTTTCGATTTTAAGATACTGTTATAACTTTTGAAATGTTTGATAACAATAAAAAATAGAAATTTGAATATACTGGAAGCTGGATTTCAACTGTTTAAGATGGCAACCAGACGATCAAGAAGTGAGATCCAAGCGTTACTTGAGATAATAAAATTATTAAAAGAAGATCAAGAAGAAAGAGACCGAAATTTAGAGGAATGAGACAGAAAATGATAAGAAGAAGAAAAAGACAGAAAATTTGAAGAATGTGATATGAAATTGAAAGACTACGAGGCCATCTCATCTGTATACCATGGGCTTCAGAAGAGAAAAACCACCAAAAAGACTTGGTGAACGTGCAATTTAGTGTAATGATTTACTCTTGTATTAGATATTTTCAAGGGCCTTTTCAATCCAGAAAGAAGTCATAGTTATTAGCTATATTTTTAGTGTTGTAATTTAGATTTTAGCGAGAGGACGTGTGACGTCAAGATCAAGCAAAACCAAGGATACATAGAATATTCAGGAATATTAGTGACCGAAAGACTTTACGAAGTGTCTAGGACCTAGGCTACAGATATAAATACGAGTATACAGTTAGTTCGGTGGCGACGAATAGTGAATGAGTATTTATCCAGTCAGTGTAGTTCAGTGAAATATTTGAATCAGTGGTAGTGATAGTACCCTTCTGGATCCTTTTCACCCCATTATTGATTATTTTCATTACAGCATGCTGGATCTCCCTACATCTGCTTAACTTTGGAGTTCAGTCTTATTTTGTGGTAGGAATACAGCCGTGCAGTATTACATCGATGTTATCCAGTTTTATAACTGTTAATATCATAGCGACTTTTCATTTTATCACTAGGTGATTTAATTCTTTCACGAGTAAAGTCATGTATGACATCGATAATATTATAAAATGTTGTGTAAGCGTCTTAGTGGCTATTCTCCAGATAAGAGTGCAGAAGGCCCAATGGCACTTTACGTTCTCTCTCAAACTTCAATGATGATGGTGTGTTATCTATTGCTTCATGTATTACTGTACGATTACTCGTCAGTAACAGTGGAAAATCTTGATCCCAAGTTTTCTGATATTCATCCAGTACATGGTTATTTGATTTAGCAGAATGCGATTGTATCGCTGCATCATGGCGTCTGAAGATAGATAAAGAACTCTTTTTCTTGGTCTTATTGATTCCAAGGATCTGACACTTTTCTGCAAACAAGGCTGGTTCAAATTTCCATTTATGATTTGAGTGAGGCTCCATAATTGTGCCAAATTTTGAAATGAATTCATTAAGAGTTCCCTTGTCAAAGATACTGCCTCCTTGTTAGTAGAAGCACCTGCTTCTGGCCATTTCGCGAAATAGTCCATCACAACCGTAACGAATCTATTCTTATCGTTATTCTGTAGCAGAGGATCAGAAACTCTTTCAAGTGGTGCTCCAACACAATACTGCTGTAACTTCTCATGTTCTTTATTTCATGGACCTTTTCTCTCACAGTAGAGCTTCCAAGTTTTAAACCAATTCTCTACAGACCTCCAGCACTCAACCCAATAGAAACGTTCTTTTACTCGCTCCAGTGTTTACTTAACACTTAATAGCCTGACATAATATGCCCTGTTGTAAGCATAATAGGTTCCACTGTATCCACTATGCCTTTGCCTTTGAGCTGTATGGAGAGGCTATTTGCCACGAGCGTCTTTAGGCATTATTCTTGAGCCACTGAATATCTGATGTCAAACTCGTATTTTTTGCCTGAGTATCTTTCATTTGAGTGTTGTACTACATTAGTTCTTCGTCATCACTTGTGGTTGTCCAATCTTGGACTATATTCTGTTGTACTTTCAATTGGTTGTCTTTACTATCCAGTGCCTCCCTTTTTTCATAGCGTTTACACTCTTCATTACCAAACGGTCTTTGGGATAATTTCCATGATTCCGTCCAGGGCGATGCACGATGTCAAAGTTATACTCCTGGAGTTTTTGGAGATATCTTGCACTCTGGCCTTCTGGATTATGAGAATTCACCATCTACTTCAATGCTACATGATTTATCTACAAGTAGAGCGTAAACTTTTGCCCACATATATAATGATGAAAATGACTTAGGGCTTGAACAACACCTTGCAGCTTTTTACAAGTTGTACAATACCTCCTTTCTGTGGCATTCATTGTCTTGTTTTAGTAGGCAGTCACATGTTCTTTTTCGTGTTGTACTTGTGGCAAAACTATTCCCTCTGCAAAATCATTGACACCTGTATCTAAAATAGGTAGATCTACAAGAGTTGGGTGATACGGGAGTAGCGGTCAATTCCTTCTTTAGTTTGTTGACTTCTCTTTCATAATCAGTGGTCAGTTGGTATTACATATCATTTGTTTAGATGTCAGAGAATGATTTTACACAACCATAGTAAGAGCTGGTCCTCACCTGTAATCTAGGTATTGTAGGTCTTGTTTAATCTTAGCATCATGCGCCCTCTAGCTAACATCTAAATTACAACATTAAAAACATAGATTATACCAATATACAATCACTTTTCCTACTGATTTATGAAATTAAAATAGCAATCGAGTAATTTAGTATATTTGTATTAGAAAGTAACGTGGTCGAGCGTGGCCCAGCGGTTATTGTGCCAGGCTGTGAATCCAAGTTGCAACAAAACCACTGCGCTTTCCAATTTGGAACCATGGTTTATAAGAGTAATGGTCAAATCCCGCTATTCGATTAGAGTAGCCCAACAGTTGACGGTGGTTACTGTTAACAATCAGTCTTCCCTCTATTCTATCAGTTTAAAACTAGGGACGGCCGGTACAGATAGTCCTTGTATAGATTTGTGTGAATATCCGAAACAAAAAATAACATCTTCCGTGACTGGTTAATATTTTTTGCTCATGGTTCGAACTGGAAGAACGACATTACTAATGGATAATTATTATTTTAAACAAATGCGTATTTGTAGATCTTAAGTGATGAATAGAACAGTGATATATAAGACCTAAAGAATTTTTTGATCTCCTTTGCTGACTCAGCAACAGGGAAGATTCGATGATGACATTATTTTATGAGCACTATTTATACAATGAACAACATTTTTCAACATTATTCCCAAAATTTTGTAATTTTCCTAGGGATAGTTCAAACAACAACAAAAATGTTCAAGATTGGAAAAGATATAAAATCTAATTATTCTTGTAACATCTGTGTTATCTTAAACACCTCTAATGAGGCTTTATATAAGATTAATTTGATAATCAAAACTGGCTTTATAACTTTGCAGTAATGTTTTTCTTTTGTTTAGGATCAAGAGACGAGGAACAGTTGACTTACTTATCGAGGTATTTAACAAATTTTCTTCGTTTTTATAATTTGGAATTTAATACGGCTGTAAATTTTGAAGTAGGCGTTTAATACGGCTGTAAATTTTGAAGTAGACGTTTAATACGGCTGAAAATTTAGAAGTAGACGTTTAATACGGCTGTAAATTTTGAAGTAGACGTTTAACACGACTGTAAATTTTAAAATAGACGTTTAATACGGCTGTAAAGTTTGAAGTAGACGTTTAATACGGCTGAAAATTTAGAAGTAGACGTTTAATACGGCTGTAAATTTTGAAGTAGGCGTTTAATACGGCTGTAAATTTTGAAGTAGACGTTTAATACGGCTGAAAATGTAGAAGTAGACGTTTAATACGGCTGTAAATTTTGAAGTAGACGTTTAACACGACTGTAAATTTTAAAATAGACGTTTAATACGGCTGTAAAGTTTGAAGTAGACGTTTAATACGGCTGTAAATTTTGTAGTAGACAAACTAATGTAATTACTTCTTTCTGTCGTCAAACAGCGTAGAGTATTATACTCTCTCATTTCTGTCACTATGAATTTGAAGAAACCGAACCACTGCTGTCAATGTTCAACAGTTTGGTATATCTCGATCATGAAAAAAAAAAACGTTAAGAGGAAATGGAAACAGAATTAAGAATTTTGTTCTTGATAATAGTACGGTGTTGAGAAAAATGTGCATGTCCAACGATCCGTAAAAATATGTAGAAATAAATTGAATTTATCAAGTTTTGTCTGCTCCGAATATTGACCGAAATTCTGATGAGATGAACAGTGAATTTTAGTTATTATTCCTTGTACAGGGTGAACACACAAACAACATTTTAAGGTCCTTTTTAAGGGTTAAGAAATGTGTTTAATTTTGAGTTTTAAAAGCCAAAGGATAGTGAAGACGGTTAAAAGTAAGTTTCGAATGTAGTCACTTATATGAAAGAGCATGCCAGAATATTAAACCATCAAAGACGTTAGGATGCTTAAATATAAGCCACGAGGTACATTCAACATGTGCCAAGTTACTGCGTCATCTATGTCGATCTCCTGACGAGTAAGGCCCTCGCACTTAATGGTAGAGTTGTTCCAGCTGTTATCCTTTACTGCAAATTACTAAAACAAAACTAAATTACAAAGATTAGTAAACACAACTTCCAGAGACTCGCATTACCAGTTTTGTTACGGATTTAAGATGTAATACATAACTGAGATACGCTCTTTGCCAGAGAAAAATGAGATGGATACATAAAAGAACGTAAATTATATTTTAAAGTACAATTAGTAGTAACAGTAGAATGACACAATCAGAATTACTTTAAAAATACAATTAGTAGTAACAGTAGAATGACACAAGCAGAATTACTTTACATGTACAATTAGTAGTAACAGTAGAATGACACAATCAAAATTACTTTAAAAATACAATTAGTAGCAACAATAGAATGACACAAGCAGAATTACTTTTAAAGTGCAATTAGTAGTAACAGTAGAATGACACAAGCAGAATTACTTTAAATGCATCCGTTTCTTATTTTCTAATGATACCCATTTTTTGTGTTATCTTGCACATTCCAAGTTGGTATTCTTCGTTTGTTTTAGCTAACCCAGTGAAACTAACTGGGTGTAATATTCTCTGAATATCAATTTAGCCAAAATTACTGAAGAAAAGAGGGAATTTGGCCTTTAAATACTTTATCCCAGGGTTACTAAGGAGAGGTGAACTTTCATAAAACTGGTTTAACCACGAGTTGCTGAAGAATGGTTGTATTTCCTGAAACCAGTCTAAGACGTGGTTATTACCAATGGTTGGTGTTCCTGAAATCAGCTTAAGACATAAATCCCGACGATAGGCTGCGTTCGTTGAAACTTTCAATCAAATGTTGCTGATTAAAGTATATTTTCGCAAAGAAATGATTTTTCCTGAATTCGTCAAAAATCTATATCAAGCATTTGATATATTATCGGTATTATTACCTGTATAAATTGTTTTCTAAACCTCACACAGAATGTTTTTTTAACAAAATGATCGAGTAATTCAGTAGCAGCAGATTTGCGGCATGTCTTCTGTAAGAAAAACAAATCAAAAGCAAAATCAAATCTCGAGATTTAAAACATCCTAATTTTTTGGGCACATATATTTAAAATACCACTTAATTATCTTTTTTTCAGTTGTTTATGTTTTAGTGCAAATCTACACAATGAATCGTTTGCGCTCTGTTTACAACAGGGAATGAAACCCCCGATTTTAGCGTTGTAATCCCGTAAAGTTACCGCTGACCCACTGGGTGTGGGAGCTTCACGTTTTTGATTAACAGTAATTTGAAATGATCTAGGTAAGTAGACTGACTAACGATAATCAAAAGCATGAATTTTGCTCGTAGTTTCAAAGGCATTTTCCCATATTATATGAAAGTTAAATATTTTTATAGCCATTAAACTGAATTTATATTTCATTTTAGAAATATTCTATTGAAGTAAATATTTGTTCTGTGAGCTGAAAATATTTAAGATACACGACATCATTTTGTATTGTTCCCATTTTCTGTTTAACGATAACTGTGACACTGGCTTTTTGTGTAATCTTAAGATGTCACTGTTGGACTCTAGTAATCTTTTATGCACTTCATAACATTTTAATACAGCACTTTGTAAAGACTGTCCCCAAGCTACCGTCGTGATTAACTTTTTAAGTGCAATAAAACAGCAGGATTAGAGCTCGAGAACACTTACAGTTCATAATCGGAGATATACAAGAAACCTTAAGGGTTCGACTTTAGCGAACTCCAATAACCAAGTCATTAAATGGTCGCTAAAGCGTGCTTGGAGCAGAAAAAGCAAGAGCAAGGAATGGCAAATAATTCTAGTTATCGAAGCAAAAAACGAACTCTTCTGACATTGCTGACGAATACTCTTCAGAATGTCGCTGATGATTTTGCTGTCGGTTCAAAGTTCGTCCTACTGAGGGTTGTTCATAAATCAGAAACACCATAGCAATTATAAACTAATTACAGTTCCAGCTACTTGCAGAGAGTCACCGAAAGGTGTTTAATTTAGTTGATAATTTTGTAAAATATTATACGTACAGAGTTTAAGCAAATCATATTCAAAATTAAGTCAACTTGGTACCAAAAGGGAGATTTCGTTTTGTTTTTTTAATATAGGAAACTTCAATTTGAGTTAAACATTTTAATTCACGAATAAATTAACCTGATGATGACAAAACCTTGTCGAAACGTTGTACATTTGCTGTTATGTTAAACTTATATTAAAGTTTTTCTTCATTACCCATTCAAGCCGTCTCCAGCCATTATTAACCTTATGAGAGTTTTTTTTTCCGATCACTAGTATCCTCAGTTATTTCATTGTGAAAACACCAAGTGTGAACTTCGGAAGTAAGCGCTTTTTTCATAAGACAGTAAAATAGTTTATTCGGTAGTTTATTATCATAAGTATACATGGTGCAGACTTTAGTATCTGGCATGGATAATGTTTCTAATAGTTGTAATATTGAGTTTCTAAGAATGGCGTCTATCGAATATTTTGTTGTTGTTTTATATATCATAGTGATACGCAATAGTTCATTTTTAAAAGTGTATTTTATTCTTAAGATGTGTATTACACTCTTGAGATGTTTATTATAGTCTTGAGATGTGTATTACACTCTTGAGATGTTTATTATATTCTTGAGATGTGTATTACACTCTTGAGATGTTTATTATAGTCTTGAGATGTGTATTACACTCTTGAGATGTTTATTATAGTCTTGAGATGTATATTACACTCTTGAGATGTTTATTATAGTCTTAAGATGTGTATTACACTCTTGAGATGTTTATTATAGTCTTGAGATGTGCATTACACTCTTTCGATGTTTATTATATTCTTGAGATGTGTATTACACTCTTGAGATGTTTATTATAGTCTTAAGATGTGTATTACACTCTTGAGATGTTTATTATAGTCTTGAGATGTGCATTACACTCTTGAGATGTTTATTATAGTCTTGAGATGTGTATTACACTCTTGAGATGTGTATTATAGTTTTAAGATGTGTATTACACTCTTGAGATGTGTATTATATACTTGATGTTTGTATCATATTCTTGAGATGTGCATTACACTCTTTCGATGTTTATTATATTCTTGAGATGTGCATTACACTCTTTCGATGTTTATTATATTCTTGAAATGTGTATTATATCCACGAAATGTTTATGTTACTTGTTGTTGTTGTTACTTGCTATTAAGCACAAAGCTATACAAGGGCTATCTGTGCTCTGCCCACCGCGGATATCGAAAATCGGTTTCTAGCTGT